GGGGTTAAAGGGACACTATAGACACCTTTAGCTTAATGAAGCAGTTTTGGTGTATAGAACATGCCCCAGCAGCCTCACTGCTCAATCCTCTGCCATTTAGGAGTTAAATCCCTTTGTTTATGAACCCTAGTCACACCTCCCTGCATTTGACTTGCACAGCCTTCCATAAACACTTCCTGTAAAGAGAGCCCTATTTAGGCTTTCTTTATTGCAAATTCTGTTTAATTAAGATGTTCTTATCCCCTGCTATGTTAATAGCTTGCTTGATCCTGCAAGAGCTTCCTGTATGTGATTAAAGTTCAATTTAGAGATTGAGATACAATTATTTAAAGGACCACTCTAGGCACCCAGACCACTTCAGCTTAATGAAGTGGTCTGGGTGCCAGGTCCAGCTAGGGTTAACCCATTTTTTCATAAACATAGCAGTTTCAGAGAAACTGCTATGTTTATGAATGGGTTAAGCCTTCCCCCTAATCCTCTAGTGGCTGTCTCATTGACAGCCACTAGAGGCGCTTGCGTGCTTCTCACTGTGATTTTCACAGTGAGAGCACGCCAGCGTCCATAGGAAAGCATTGTAAATGCTTTCCTATGAGACCGGCTGAATGCGCGCGCAGCTCTTGCCGCGCGTGCGCATTCAGCCGGCGGGGGAGGAGGAAGGAGGAGGAGAGCTCTCCGCCCAGCGCTGGAAAAAGGTAAGTTTTTACCCCTTTCCCCTTCCAGAGCCGGGCGGGAGGGGGTCCCTGAGGGTGGGGGCACCCTCAGGGCACTATAGTGCCAGGAAAACAAGTATGTTTTCCTGGCACTATAGTGGTCCTTTAAGGTAAATTACATCTGTTTGAAAGTGAAATCAGTTTTTTTTTTTCATGCAGGCTCTGTCAGTCATAGCCAGGGGAGGTGTGGCTAGGGCTACATAAACAGAAACAAAGTGATTTAACTCCTAAATGACAGTGAATTGAACAGTGAAATTGCAGGGGAATGATCTATACACTAAAACTGCTTTATTTAGCTAAAGTAATTTAGGTGACTATAGTGTTCCTTTAATTAGAATTCTTTGGCTATAATTGGGTAGCACATGGAAAATATATAGCAGTGTGGAATACTCACAATAACGTATAAGAGCGTTGAGAGGCATTTTACACTCTCTAGATAAATAAGCAAGAATGTATTTTAAGATGCGGACGAAAAGGTATTGTGCATATGTATGGGGTAGATGTTTTATCTGGTATAAAATATCAGTTATACGACTATTAATTCAAATGTGGCAGCAATCTAGCAAGGTATTGCCATATATAGTTAAAATAACAAATCCACACATAAGGCATATAGCTACATAACTAACAAATGTTAAAAAGAATTCTATGTTATGTAAAATCTATGATTGTGTCTATATGCCATTGGTTTTCTTTTTATGTTGCTTTTTCTTTGTGATTATATTAACAGAACAAAAAGAAAATCTGAATAAATAATAAATATTTAAGAAAAAAAAAAGTATTAAAGGAACACTATAGTTTAATTAACCATTTATTTACTTAACTTAATCCAGCACCGGGCTCCCTCGGCACTGGTGACCTCTACTCTTCCATCTACGTCAGCTTCTGAGTGGAGCAAGATGCGCATGCGCAGCCAGAGGGGTGCGCGCATACAATCCAGCCCATAGGAAAGCATTGGGGATCTTTTTTGACACCGGACTCTGTGAGGACGTCCAGCGTCAAATAAGTGTGATCTACTCCATATAAATCATCACGGATGTGGCCTCTAGTGGCTGTCAGGAAGACAACCATTAGAGGCTGGATTAACCCTGCAGTGTAAACATAGCAGTTGCTCTGAAACTGCTATGTTTTCAGCTGCAGGGTTAAAACTGGAGTGACCTGGCACCCAGACCACTTCATTGAGCTATGGTGGTCTGGGTGCCTGTAGTTGTCCTACAAATGCATTAAAGTTGTAATGGTGCTCAATGTCTTTTTAAGATCAGTTTAAACACAATATGCACTTTGCATTATGCAAATATGCATGAGTTCTGGGAGTACTCTTAGCCCACTTTTTGCCTCTTAATAGTATAGAAGGAGCTATAAGACAGACAGTGCTCCAGGATGCCCTAGATCATTTTTGTCCCTATTCTGTGTGCGGCATGTTGTAAGCTGGATTGGTGGTCTCCTGTGTGGACAATGAGAATGGTCTCCAAGCAACATAAAAGTCAAACAGGCTCTGCCACCTATAAACTGCAAATTAAAGAAAAATAAAGTACCTTTCCGGGTTTGTTGAAGGATACTGATACTAAACCCAACGAATTCAGATGCTGTCCTGGGTTTAGTTGCCCTACATAGCGTTTCAAGGAGAGGGACTAACAAACACACACACACACTAATAAAAAAAAAAAAAAATATATATATATATATATATATATATATATATGTGTGTGTATATATAAATAAATGTAGCCTAGTTCACTAAACAATAAACTGGGCAATGTATAAACTGATAATAGCCGTGTTAGGTCTACTATGTTTATTGTACATGTTATTTATTATTGTATCAGCAAGACTGCAGCTGACATAGCTGAGCAGAGATGACAGGCGCAGGATTCAGGACTGTGGGGTTAAAGGACCACTATAGGCACCCAGACCACTTCAGCTTAATTAAGTGGTCTTGGTGCCTGGTCCAGCTAGGGTTAACCCTTTTCTTTATAAACATAGTTTCAGAGAAACTGCTATGTTTATAAATAGGTTAATCCAGGCTCTAAAGCCTCTAGTGGCTGTCTGATTGACAGCCGCTAGAGGCGTTTGCGTGCTTCTCACTGTGAAAATCACAGTGAGAAGACGCAAGCGTCTATAGGAAAGCATTATGAATGCTTTCCTATGAGACTGGCTGAATGCGCGTGCAGCTCTTGCCGCGCATGCGCATTCAGCAGGAGAGGAGGAGAGCTCCCCGCCCGGTGCTGGAGAAAGAGGTAAGTTTAACCCCTTCCTCTCCATCCATCTCGGCGGGAGGGGGTCCTTGAGGGTGAGGGCCCCCTCAGGGCACTATAGTGGTCCTTTAAACTGTTTGTGAACGATTTAACACCATTAGGTAAGTCAGTGCCAAGGGATCTCCTTGATCATTGAGGTATGTCAGCACCCAAGGACCTCACCATTCCTTATATAATACTTAGCTGTACTGTTCTCAGTCTATATATAACTATAGCCTACATATCAGTTAATAGTTTATTATTGTGGTACAATGCCATTAAAGACATATGGATTGAAAGTTTTATGAATTTCTCTAGGACCCAGACGTGGCTTAATAGTCTAACACAGTCTATTATCCAACATAATATCTTCACTAATGGCTTTTCACGAATTAATGTGTTAGATACATGGAAGGAATCTCTAGTAACAAGCTATGAGAGCCTGCAAAACAGTGGGATCTTCTAGTGGCAAAGGGAGCCACATCACCTCAACATGATGTCATGTTGACAGGGAGGTACAGCCTTTCAGCTGCAATGATTTTTTTAGAACCACTCCACTTATGACAGAAACCAAAAAACAAGAGGCAAGACAGTTCTTTGCACCCAATTTTTGTGTGAGGCATATGCTATGGTGGTGCTTGGAGTATCCGTTTAATAAAGGATAACAACAATAATGCAATGAGAAAATGTTTGGTGATTTACCAAACATTAAGTGAATATATATATATATTAGGCAAAGGCATACACACTTTTTAGTAAATACTATTATACTTATTATGAAGGCTTACTTTAAAACCACTGGATCCAAAGCTGCACAAGAGGTTCTTGCAAACAATTAAACTAAATACCATCTCACCTCCACTGTATCTATAGGTGCAGTGATTTGCTCCTGGGTAAGACCTCCAAACTCTTCTGCCAACACATCCATCTCTACCACATTAGCAACACTAACACATGGGTAGAGCAGCTGTGCATCACCAATAACCTTCCGCCCGCTCCAGTCACCTCGCTAAACGTTCCGCCTCTCGGCTACAAGCTAGTCAATGTGCAGAATGGGGGGAGGAAGCCATTTTGGATGCGGGCAAAATACCACACCGCACTGTAGCGAGGTTGGCACGTGCCATGCATTCCAATCATATCCCCAGGCCGTGTCTGCCCGAATCAAACATGGCGTTTATTTCGCTCCCTATTTCTGTTCGAGGGAGTGACATAAACCAGCTGCGATACAGTTATTACATTAACCCCCTCAGGAGTATAATACATATCAGACATAGCCAACCGCCACGCTAGATGTTTTGGACTACACCTCCCATGATGCTTTGCCAGCATTATGGGTGTAAGAGCATTATGGGGATGTAGTCCACAACATCTGGAGTGCCGAAGGTTGCCTACCCCTGTATATATACAACCTGTAGTTGTTGTGATGGCCTTGGAAGTTTAAAAAGCTACTACATTATGCAAAAAGAATGATTTGATATCCATTGAAACTACATGTTAGAATTCTTCAACTAGTGTTTCAGTTTGAGTTACACACATATTTTAGCACCATTTATCGAAGGCCTATATTCTCAGCTACGTCGTTTAATAGATGTTCCGTTGATAGAGATATTGGGGTTTGAGTGTGTGTTGAGGGGGGAAGTTGAAAATAAGCTTTTTTTTTTTTTTTGTAAACGCTTAGTTCTGGAATTGTCCCAGTCGAGCTCCCGTAGTTCTGTTCAGTGGCACTGTATGAGCCTGTATGTCTGCCACATATACAGGGACCCTACTCCAGATTTGGGGAGGTGTCTTATTTTTAACCCGTGCAAAGGAGACAGACTCACTGAATATACTGGGGTACCTCCAGCATACACTGCTAGGAGTCTGCTGCACACTGTCTTTACCCCAGAGTTGCAACTTTTTACTAAAACTGTGCAACTAACTTTTAGAAAGAATTGAAATATATTTGACTGATTACTCTATTCTCCTATTACGGTGTGTCTAGGCATGAACAGTATCTCTTAAATATAAATCCATATATTGAGATCTAAACATATTTACCCCTGCAATAAGGGGAATAATGGCTAATGAAGTAAAGCACAGGAAGAAAGGCTCATCATCCAAGCATGGCAATGATGCCCAGCGCAATGCCCCTTCAACAGGGCAGCAGATCCAGGATGAAGAGCCCAAGAAGGCCATGGTGGGTTCTCCAGTCAGCAGTCAGACACCTGCCAGTCTAGAAGTGAGGACAGTGCTGTGCCTGCTGTGTGTGGCAATCTGTGGAGGTCTATCATGGTAAGATGTTCTATTCAGAATGTGGACACTGTTATGTTGTGTCCTGGAGTGTGAAGGCAATTCTATAAATATCACAGTGGCACATACTTGTTTCAATTTAGTCTTTAGTTTCCCAAATCATTCAAGAAATAGAAATTGTATGTCGTCTATATAATGCCGTTTGATCCATGTATACTTTTTGTGGTCCTTATTGTAAAGTGTAAGTCGTTAAACCATGCAAGGAGCTTCTGTTAGCTTCCCTGAGCTAAAGCTATTGTCCAGGGAGGCTGTCTGAGCGTATATTAGGCTTGAGAGTGTATGGCTTTAGTGGTTATGGTGCATGGAGCTTTCTTTAAGGTATTTTGTAGTTCATTGAAAATAGTGTATCATTTGTATTGAAAATACATTTTAAAATATTACCGTTTTTAACTTATTCTATGTCACAATTTGGTGTATTCATGTACCACTTTTCAGATAAATCATTTGGGTAAGCAATGGGAATGCTGTAGCTTAGTTTACACTAAAATTATTTTGATATCACCAGTCTTTGACATCTAATAAGTTGAAACCAGTAACACTCTTAGTTTTATAATGAAACCTGCTTCTTTAATTGCTAATTAAATACAAAATATGATTAAAAATAAAAAAGGAACAACAATGGGACCAGTTAAACTGTACACTGAATTTTGGACTGAATTTAAACGTAGCAGCAAGCACAGTGCTGTATCACATAGACAAAAGATAGATAAGTTGCAGATACCTTTTGGCACTCAGTGCCTTTTCCCTATAACAGGGGCAGGCAACCTTTTGCAAATGTATTAATGCTTGTCTGATCAATGGTACCGCCTTGACTACCAATGAATTTTGATTGAAATAATATGTATTTGTAACATGGAATGAATAGGTAGCACCTAAATATATGATGAAAGAGAAAAAAAAAAATATGAGGCTATCGCGCATGAACGGCAAAACAACACGCTGCGCCAATTGCAATCTCCTCATGGAGATACATTTAATCAATGTATCTCTATGAGGAACTGCCAGCGCCTCCATGCAGAACGTAGAGACGATGAACGACAGTGCTGCACAGTGTGTAGCACTGACCCAGGGAGCACCTCTAGTGGCCGTCTGATTGACGACCACCGTAGGCAGCAATATAAACACTGTATTTTCTCTGAAAAGGCTGTGTTCACATTAAAAAGCTGCAGGCTAAAAAGACGGAAATACTACATATAGGTGCACGGTTTTGATAGTGAAGGGATTACAAAGAAGTAAGAATAATTAATGCATTTGCATACATTTTGCTATAAATCTGTTGTGCATCCCTACACTTGGGGCCTCACTATATGTTCTAGAGTTCGATGAAACAACTTGAGGAGCAGAATGTAACGTTCTATTTTTTTTTTTATTTTTTTTTAATGTTTTACTTTTTACTGACCTGGGGTTCTATGCTGTAAGTTCACACTGAGAATATGCATTATTGCAGTGATGGTCAAGAATTATGACAAGTAAGATCTGGTTCACCTTGATCATTCATACGATTAGTTTCTTGTTAGTATGATAAAGGTTTTGTGATAATAAAACTAACCCAGTGTATCTGTGTTATAGCTTATATCTTTACTAACCCTTTGGAAAAGGTCCATCTTCAAGCTGTACTGTAAGAAAAAAATAAGACCAAGTCACAGATTTTCAGGATGCCCATGGGGTCCAAAGTTGTTCGGATTACTTCCATACAATCTGTATTGCAGTCTGCCTATTTTACATGCGAAGGTAACTAAATAATTATGTTTCAAAAAGCAGATGGTTTGGCTGTTAGAAGCACTGACTGCCTACAATATCTTCAGTATGCGCATTGTTATTTTAAACTTAAATCACAAACTTGTTTGTATTGAAATAGTTTTTGAATTAATACTTACATACCTCCAAACCCCAGTGTCCTGTGAAGCAGGACACTGGCGGGAGGGATAAAAGGGGATAGGTCAATTAAATGATTTGCATCACTGGCTCTGCCCAAAGGGAGACATCAGGGATCAAAGTCGGGACTGCAGGACAGGGATCAAAAATCTAGACTGCCCCGCCGAAATTGGGATGGTTGGGAGGCCTGATACATATGCAATATTTACACTTTTACAAAAAGTCTGAGAATGGTTTACTTTTTTTCAGACTATTTTTAAAAAAATATTTCACATAGTTCCCAGCACTCCTGTATCTTTATTTGGAATTGTCCCAAAAAGCACAGTGTAATCTTGTCACTAAAAGTTATGGCTGTGCAAGGCCATCACAGAGCATTTCTGATGTTGTGAGAGCTCTTCTGCAGCTTACTGCACATGTGCAGGCCGGAAAGTCAGCACACGTTTGTGCATGGCTTAGGGCATTCTTGTTTCTGTGCAACACCAATGGCATTGTGTCATAGTCATGTCTGTGTCTCCCATTAAAATGTTATAACTCTCCTTTTTGAGAGGTGTGTTTCCACCCGCTAAGAAATACCAGTAAAAGCAGATCCTTCGTGTTTTTTGTTTTTAGCAAAATAAAGTAATCAGACTCTTACTATTGGGGATATTTATCAAGGTAAAAAGGTGCTAAACAAGATGCAGTCACCATAGACGTAGAATTCCTTCAGACATATAATATTTTGTCCTAGAATTGCTTCTACATGCTGCTTGTGGAGTTGTTTGTGCGTGTGCGTCGGGTGGGGGGGGAAGAGGTGCTGGTGGGGTTATGTATTATTTATTACTGGTATTTATAAAGCGCCAACAGATTCCACAGTGCTGAACAATTAGTGGAGAACGTACATGTGTATGTGGATGGAGCTGTTTGTCATGTAGAGTGTGTGTTAAAGGACCACTCTAGGCACCCAGACCACTTCAGCTTAATGAAGTGGTCTGGGTGCCAGGTCCTTCTAGGGTTAGCCCATTTTTTTATAAACATAGCAGTTTCAGAGAAACTGCTATGTTTATGAATGGGTTAAGCCTTCCCCCATTCCCTCTAGTGGCTGTCTCATTGACAGCCACTAGAGGCGCTTGCGTGCTTCTCACTGTGATTTTCACAGTGAGAGCACGCAAGCGTCCTTAGGAAAGCATTGTAAATGCTTTCCTATGTGACGGGCTGAATGCGCGCGCAGCTCTTGCCGCGCGTGCGCATTCAGCCCAGGAGGAGGATCGGAGGAGAAGAGGAGGCAGAGAGCTCCCCGCCCAGCGCTGGAAAAAGGTAAGTTTTAACCCCTTTCCCCTTTCCAGAGCCGGGCGGGAGGGGGTCCCTGAGGGTGGGGGCACCCTCAGGGCACTATAGTACCAGGAAAACAAGTATGTTTTCCTGGCACTATAGTGGTCCTTTAAGGGGGATGGTGGCTCTAGTGTGTGTGTGTGTGTGTGTTTGAACTGCCCGGTTTAAGTGTGGGGTAGATATTATTTGCCTAAAGTAAATAAAGGCAAGTAATCCTATTACTTTTTACTACTCATCCTTCTTTTGGTATTAGTTAAAAGTTGCATTAAAGGAGCGTGCATATATGCTTTTTGTAGTGGATGATAGGATACTATAGACAAGATTTTTTTATTTTTTTAAATCTTCTTTCAAATCATGTTTTATTACACAATTAATAGAATTAATATCAGTGTTTCTTAATATTAAAAGGATACTACAGCCACCAAGACCATTACATCTCACTGAAGTGGCCTGGGTCCAGTGATCCTGTCCTTTTAGCTCAGCCATGTAAAGCACTGCAGTTTTTTTAGAAACTGCAATGTTTACATTACAGGGTTAAGTCCACCTCTAGTGGCTGTCAGTACTACAAGTAAATTGCGGTCATGTAATGCAGAAGCTCCACAGGAAAGCATCGATTCAATGCTACTCATAGAAGGCCATGCCTTCTTCGTGAAGATGCAAGAGGCAAAGATGTAAGCAGCAAAGAAAGAGCATCGGAACTGGAAGAAGGTGAGTAATTTTTATTCTTTTTAATTAGATTTTAGTCCACCCAAGGAGGGGAGCCTGAATTAGAGTATACAATTTTTTTTTCATAACGCCATAATGTTCTTTTAAAGCAGCTCTCTCACCATATTGGATCTTTGCATAATTTTCAAAGACCTCAGACAGTGACATCGCCGGTGAGTGTCCAGTGGTCCGAGGGGTGCAGGGGAAGTTGAGTTATACCTACCTGAAGTTGTCCCTCGTAGGCACTACCATGCTCGTCCTTCCAGTCCTCTTCAGCTCCTGGTGTTTTAATTGCCATTAGCCAGCGCTAGTGCTCTTGCGTGATAGTACAGCACTGAAGTCTGTAGAGGATCCCATGAGATTGCAGGTTGCTCCATATACAGAGCCTTTTTCCCTCAGCTGTCTAAGCTGAAAGGGCTTGAATTCACCTTTTTGTCAAGCAGGGGAAAAATATTAGAACAAAGTAATCTCTACTTTATCTTAGTATATCTTTTCACTGGGATGGAATGTCAGTCAAATTCCAACACAGTCAATGTGAGTCTTTTTATAAAAAAAATGTAAAAAAGTTATCTTTAGGAAATACTCCTTTTAGGAGGTTGACAGAGCCACTTAAATATAAATGTCTGTATCCCAGAATCTGCTAAAATTATTATTTATAAAAAAGGTTGTATATCTTTTACTGCTGCTAATGAAGACTCTGGTAGACGTGGTAATATTTACTCCCATTTACTCCTTTCCAGGCTTGTCTTTGAGCAGTTCCGCAGTTTTTCCATGCTTGAATTGAAGTACCAGTCTCTTCAGACAAGATCGGGAGCATTGGAGGAGGTGGAAGATAAAATAAAGCTTATTTTTGGAAAGGTAAATATAACTGGTTTCACTTTGTATTATGTATGTATTTTTTTATGTATGTATTATTTAATCATTTTGTGGATTTAGTTATTTGTTCTCTGTCTAGTATTTAAAGGGACACTCCACTGCCCAAATACAACTTCAAATACAAAAATCACTATTTAGTAAGTATACACCCAATGAAAATATGCATGCATTTATTTGTGTATTTTTCATTGGGTATATCTAAAACAGGTTGCAAAGCTGCAGATCTCTTATCTTACCTTCCCCAGTCCAGTTTTATTTTGTCTGTTAAATCACAGACTTTCTAATGCAGCTCATTGAAAATGAATTGCAAGGCAAGTGCTATGAGCAATTGCCTTCCTCTTGAGTTTAGCTCCACTGAACTAAACTACCAGGAAGTAGTAGGACCGGTTATTTGATTGACAGGCAGGAGGTGTAACAAGGTAAATTTTATAAAATTGTCAGTTTGTATTAAAATCTGCAATTTTTGTAAAAGACAAAAAAAGAGGACACGGTCTTGACACTCAGCAAACTCAAGTGCTCTGTGGTCCAGTAAGTACTACAGATTAGTGATGTCTGTAGACCCTCCCACCTCCTGGACAGCATCCATTTTACATTCATTGTAAAGCTGCATTCTTAGTGAGCTGTCCAGGAGGTGGGACGGTCTGGGAGAGAGGGTCTGCTGCTGATTGGCTGGAATGTGTCTGCTGACTGTGAGGTACAGGGTCAAAGTTTACTCAATGATGAGTCCGCGGCGAACCGTTCATGGCGAACCGTTCGCGATCCGTTCGGGACATCACTACTACAGATGTATCCTCACCATACCTTACTGAAGCTGTGGTACTTTAGTATATCATTTGAATTAGAATATTCACATTGAAAATAAGTTTGAAGTCTCCTTTGACAATTAACCATTGACTAATCATCATCGGACCACCAAAATGACAAGTTCTGGCAGTTTTCTCACTGCTTACATTTGTAGCCCATTGTTGGTGTAGATTCCAAACATCTGAGTCCTTTCCAAACAGGTCTTGATCTCTGGTCAGTTAGTAATGTATGCTAGCACTGAAGCATTTTTAACTTGAAAGACCTTAGAAGACTCATCTGATCACACATTGTCCAAGATAGTTGAATATCTCACGAAGAGATACTACAGGCTGCTTCCAGCCATGCATACATCCACCAACATGGAGAGACAGCAATAGTTTTGTCACAGTTTTATTTAATTTTTTTAACTTAGTGGCATTGTATAGTGTTCAATGTATTGACAAGTTCCTGCAGCTATGGGAAATTCAAGAACTGTAGCATTTTGGACATCAGGAGACATCATAGATGGGGACACAAATGTTCAATGGCTACCTATAAATAGGCCAGTACTACATGATAAAAGGGCAAAATAGTCAAACCTGTTCTTTTGGTTCCATATTCATCTTTTTTGCCAAGGGCTAAAAATTAATATATATATAGTTATCTGTAGTCTATATCATCATTTATTCCACCTGCCGTAATATATTTAATGCCAGTATAATTGTGAGTATCTAAGTTTTCGCAACTGTCTTTGTTTATTAAAATCATTGTGCTTTTTTGTTTCCTATTTTTTTTTTTTACAATGTTCAGCCTAGCGTCTGATTAAAAATAAATAAATAAAATAACCCTCTTCCTTTAAGGTTTTGGTATATTTATTTACTTTATTGTCTTGTTGTTTCTTTTTTCCTCTTTTTGCAGTTGGAAATAAATAGAAAGAAACTTTTTTGTAAGAGGCTTACTTAGCTTATCTTCTTTGACTCTTTGCTTACTCTGTGCAGCTTATCTTGTAATACATTTATTGAAGCCATCTGTCTGTGTATGTTAAATGGTCTAGGTACATGCTGTAATCAGGTCAAGCTAGATTGGTGGCTTTGAATGCAAAGAATTATACTCTGTCACTTCTATGAAGATTTTATAAGTAACAACCGAATTTAAGTTACAACTAAATTTAAGATGGACTTGTCACAAAGTGTGGATGACAATGTGTAGATTAAATTACATACTTACCAGTTGTTTGCTTTCTGATCTGGGCTGTAGGCCATATGTATCTCTGTACATTCCCACAATGCCCAGCATGGTTTCCCACAATGTCAGTGTGCAGCCAAAGACCAATCAATATTTGATGCTGCACTACACGTTGGAAGGGAGCACACATTCAAATTGCTTGTAAATTGTATATTAATAGCATGGCATATAGATAATTAAGGTAAACCCTGCAGTTCATATACACATTTGGCAGTAGTTTGGTTAGCACAGTGTATAAGATAAATTCTATACTCTCTAAAGTGCCGCCATGTAATATTTGCTTTAAACGTTCACTTTAATTAAATGACAGATGTAAGTAACAAGATCATTAAGTGGAAGGTAGATAAACTCCAATACGTTAGTGTATTTTCCTGTATGTACTCTCAGAGCACCAGTTCTAGTCTAGTTCCTGACAACCAAAATCATGTTTCATTTCTTTAGTTTTTTTTGTCTACAATTCCAGTTTTCCACCACTAGTGGTTTCCCTAGCCACTAGTCTTAATCCACAGCCTCTCTCACCTGCCTTGAAAAAATGACTACATCTGATTAAACTATAAAGAGCCAAACTCTGCACAGAAGGGGGCCTTTACATTGATTGAAGTTTATGGTCTACCTGAAAGAAATTCAGATTTTGGCTCCTCTAAACATACATGAAACTAAACTGCTTTATATTACCAACCGGATCTAAAAGGGACACTGTAGGCACCCAGACCACTTCAGCTAATTGGAGTAGTCTGGCTGCTGTGACCCTTTTGCACTTAGTGCTACAATGTGCAATGTGCAGTTCTAAGTCTGCCCTCTGTGGCTGTCTACCGGACATCCACTAGAGGGCTTCCAGAATCCAAACTGACTTTTGGTCCGTTAGACGTCCAGCGTCAGATTTTCCCCATAGGAAAGCACTGAATAATGCTTTCGTATGGGGGAGGTCAAATGCTCACGCGGCCATTGCTGCCATGTGCATTAGGTGTCCCTGGCCGGCTGGCGTCGGCAGGGGAGGAGCGTAAGTGGAGCCTGACCCATTGCCGAGGGACATCGGCACTTGATTCAGGTAAGTGGCTGAATGGGTTTTAACGCCTTCAGCCCACCGAGAGAGACCTATTAACCCACTATAGCCTGCTTTATACCAACCTGATCTACACTACTAACCTGCTTTATATTACCAGCCTGCTTTATACCAACTTGATCTACACTACTAACCTGCTTTATACCAACCTGGTTGGTAGTGTAGATTAGGTTGGTATCATAAAGCAGGTTGGTATAAAGCAGGTTAGTAGTATAGATCAAGTTGATATAAAGCAGGCTGGTAATATATTTATAGCAGCACTGTTATGTTTTGATTTTTCTTTCTTTTACGCTTCTTTTCTTTATGCCCCTTGTACCTTAATGGAACACTCTAACTTTTGGAATGCAAATATGTATTCCTAACGCTTTAGTGTCTTAGCCACCATTTAGGGGACCCCTAGGACTAAAAAAATAAGTTAACTTTCCTTTTCTCCCACGCCGCAATGCTCTCTCCACAGTCGGCTTCCTTGGCTGATAACATCAATGTTGATGATCTCATCCAATGCAATGTTTTCCCATAACATAGCAATGGCTAGTGCACATGCTCGGTAAAAAAGTGCTGTGCCAATCAGATGATCTGTATGAGATCATCTGATTGAAATATTCAGGTTTTACTCAGCTATTTCATTGGAAGCACCTCTAGTGACTGTCAGTGGGACAGCCACTAGAGGCATCCTAACTCTGCAATGGAAACTTTGTCATTTTTGCAGATTGTTGCGAGGGCTACAAACAATTGTGGTTACATGTGGTTATCCTGTTTCCACTATGTGCAAAAAGTGACAATAAAACAAAACACAATGCCCACCCAAGGGTGTTGATGACTGATTTGCTGGATAACTGGGTGTTGATGACTGATTTGCGCACACAGGAAATTGTTATTAGTTAAAGACAATTATGCTTGTCATCTCCAACCAGTTTTTATCCACTGATATCAATGAATAACCGGAGCACTGAGGAATGCATTAGATAGATTCATCTGGAATTAACAGCCTACAATTATTGAGAATCTCTTGTAATTGATGTTAAGGTTGAAATATTTGGGATTATAATCCTCATCGACTCCCCTCTTAGTTTGGCACAGTCTCCAGCTGTCAATACCAATTCACGGCTACCCCATCAAACATTTTATTTTGGGATGGTCATGACACCCCCAAATGCATCTGAAGATGGCTGGCATCTTGAACATGGCTGTTGCATTATTCAAAAGCATTAGAATCCAAGGGTCCAGTAAGAGATCTTCCCTTTAAAGCATCTGTTGTGTATGATATAAGTGTTACCACTGTAAGGGAGGAATTCACTAAATGCCTGCTAAAACTAGAATAGAGTGCTAATTGTTTAACAAAAAGCCTGGGAGGCCACACGTTTTCAGTTATGTGGATGAAATTCATCCTTCCATGCTTCTATTTGCTGTATGTACCTGCTATTCTATAGTCCTGTTCGTCCGTGGGGGACACACCTAGCATACCATAAAATGTTAACTTTAAAGGGACACTATAGTCACCTGAACAACTTTAGCTTAATGAAGCAGTTTTTAGTGTATAGAACATGCCCCTGCAGCCTCACTGCTCAATCCTCTGCCATTTAGGAGTTAAATCCCTTTGTTTATGAACCCTAGTCACCAGGGCTGCCATCAGAAATTTTTGGGGCCCCTGACACAGCTCAAGGTCTGGGCCCCGGTGCCTGCACCCGAGTCGCCCAAAGTGCTGTCCCGAGTCCGCCCACAGGAATGCAGTGCTGCAGGGCCGGTGTAAGGAATTTTGCCGCCCTAGGCAAAAGTAAAGTTTGCCGCCCCACCCATATGATCTGCCATGTTAACTAACACCAGTGCTGCAGTGCTGCCGTGTTTACATTAAAAGGCCTGCAGGGACAGTCTAGACACCAGAACCACTACATTAAGCTGTAGTTGTTCTGGGGACTATAGTGTCCCTTTAATGTGAGGTAAATGAGAGATTAGTGCCACAAATAATATACTAGATTGCCTACTTACAAACAGATGAGGATGATTATGGGCTCTAGCTGCAGTCTGGCTCCACTGGTCTGGTGTAGAACAGGCTCTCTGGAGGCGTTTTGTAACTGTGGTCACAAAAATCAATGTTCTGGGATCAACGGGAAGCAGCTCCATTTTTTTGAGGGCCCTTTACACAGCTCAATGTCTGGGTCCCAGGATCCACCTTCATGTTCCACCAATGAGTTTGTTCACAGGGGGTGGAGTGTGTGTGGGGGGATGTCCTGATGTGTGTAAGGAATGCATTGTGTGAATCTGTGTTTGTATGTGTAAGGGCTGCAAGGTGAGTTTGTGTATGTATGGGATGCAGTGTGTGCGTCTGTAAGGGATGCATTGAGTGTGTGTAAGGGGTGCATTGTGTGTATTGCTTGTGTATGTGTGTCTGTGTGTAATGCATTGTGTGTTTTTCTGTGTGCAAGGGGTGCATTGTGTGTGTGTGATGGATGTCAATCTCTCCCCCTCCCCCCCCATCAATTTCCTTCTCCCCCTCCCCCGTCAATTTCCTTCTCCCCCCTCCAATTTCCTTCTTCTCCCCCTCCCTCCCTCTCTCCAATTTCCTTCTTCTCCCCCTTTCTCAAATTTCCTTATTCTCCCCCTCTCCTTCTTCTCTCCCCTCTCCAACTTCTCCCTCCACTTCCTTCCTCTCTCCCCTCAAATTTCCCTTTCCCCCCACTCCCAAATTTCCTTCCCCCCCAAATTTCTTCTCCTCCTCACCTCTTCCTTCTCTCCCTCCCTCACTCCAATTTCCTCTCCCCTCCCTTAAATTTCTTTCTCCTCCCTCCTCCCTTGAATTTCTTCCTCCCATCCCTCCTCAAATTTCCTCTCCTCCCTCCCTCCCCTAAATGTCCTTTTCCTCCTCCTCACAAATTTCCTTCTCCCTCCCTAAATTTCTTCCTCTCCCTCCCCTAAATTTCCTTCCTCCTCCCTCCAATTTCTTTTCCTCCCTCCTCCACTTTTTCCTCCCCCTAAATTCCTTTCCTCCCTCCTTCCAATTTCTTTCTCCCCTCCTCCCCCTCCAATTCTCTCTTTCATCCCTTCCCTCCTATTTCTTTTCCTCCTCCTCCTATACTCTTCTTCTATCCCTCCCTCCCTCCCTCCAATTTCTTTCCTCCCCCCCCTGACACCCGGTGGCCAGCGCGCGAGGGAGCACTCTCCTCTGCTGCTTCCTCTTCAGCCCGCTCGCGCGCCACGTACTGATGCCGGAGCCGGAAGATGGCGTCATCTTCCAGCTCCGGCATCAGTACGGTGCGCGAGGGAGCTGAAGAGGAAGTAGCAGAGGAGAGTGCTCCCTCGCGCGCCGGCTGGCTGTCAGGGCCAACCTCTGGGGGGCCCTGAGGTGACCGGCTGCTGGGCCCCCAGGAGAAGAGGCTGGCCCTGTGGGTACATACCGGGTCGCAGGGCCCCCTGCGACCCGGTATGTACCCACAATGTGGGGCCCAGATGACCTGAGCAGTCCGGGCCCCCCAGGACCGCCAGGCCCATGACAACCGTTACGGTTGTCATGCCCTGATGGCGGCCCTGCTAGTCACACCTCCCTGCATGTGACTTGCACAGCCTTCCATAAACACTTCCTGTAAAGAGAGCCCTATTTAGGCTTTCTTTATTGCAAGTTCTGTTTAATTAAGATTTTCTTATCCCCTGCTATGTTAATAGCTTACTAGACCCTGCAAGCGCCTCATGTATGTGATTAAAGTTCAATTTAGAGATTGAGATACAATTATTTAAGGTAAATTATATCTGTTTGAAAGTGAAACCAATTTTTTTTTTTCATGCAGGCTCTGTCAATCATAGCCAGGGGAGGTGTGGCTAGGGCTGCATAAACAGAAACAAAGTGATTGAACTCCTAAATGACAGTGAATTGAGAAGTGAAATTGCAGGGGAATGATCTATACACTAAAACTGCTTTATTTAGCTAAAGTAATTTAGGTGACTATAGTGTTCCTTTAACATGTTGAACTTTAGACTTCTTTGAAACACATGCTTCTAATTCCTGAGACAATGGAATGCCCTGACCCTTATTTTATTTAAAAAAAATTTATTATTTGTATATGACATAAAATGTCAAAAATATATCATATATGACAATATTAAAATATTTTTCAAAAGCTTACATAATTTTAAATGTTTACCTAAGGATATTGGGTCATTTGGTAAACTTATCCAAAAATATTGTATTGAGGGTTACGCTTCAGTTGCAATGTTACTTGTAATACATTTACAAAATCTTTGTCTATTTTATTTTGAATATATTAACTATAAAAAAATAAAAATTCCTAACCCTGCTACAAATTACCAGAATAAAATATATTAAAATAATACTTATCAGGGGAGGAGCCGGACGCCAGGCATGAACGGTCGCACTGTCACTGCGCTCCGTAGAAACGACCACAAAAACGCTAAAAATCGGAGCCCCACGGCACAATCAGAGGCACCAAATAGCCCCTGGGGCTATCCCAGCTCAAGAGCAACAGGCTGATGCCTTTTTTGTACTCCCAAACGGGCAGAAAGACCCAACAGAAGGCAGGGCCTACATCGCCTACCAAGCCACGAGATTTGCGCCGGAAACCACAGCGCTAGGAGTGCACCCAGACGAGTACCTTCTGACAAGTGCCACGACGCCGGACGAATACACCATGGGCCGAAAATCTCAACGACCCACGCAGACCTCTGGCAGAACCACGCAGGACATAGGCGACCTGCTGCAGAGGCCGATGGCGCCCTCACCGGACCGCACACCAACCCTCCAAGACGAAGGTGAGCAATCAGGGGATGAACAGGAACTGCCAGCCGCTCAACCAAATAGGGGGACACAGGCTAACAGGGACAATCTCACACCGGCTACCAAACAAGATATAGCCGACCTGTTAAACGAAATGAGACAAATGCATGCAGCGGATATAGAACTGCTGAGGACGGAGATGCAGACAGTAACTACACGTACTCAGGCCACAGAGGAGGATATCCTAGAACTGAGACAGGAGGTAAAGGGGCTAAAAGAACATGTACTGCAAATCCAGGCATCCCAATCCAACCTCACGACGAGACTGGACCTTACAGAGGACCGCAACCGACGCACCAATTTAAAACTAAGGGGAAAATCGGATAGTGTTGACTCCACAGAACTGCCCCACTATCTCAGACGCCTCACAGCCACACTCCTACCGCATGCGCAAGCCAAAAAATTCTCACTAGACTGATTTTTTCGGATCAGAAATGCCAGACAAGCACCGGCCGCAGTTCCACAAGATATCATCATCCGGTGCCACTCAATGGTGGACAAAATCATGCTTCTTGCAGCAGTTAGAGGAAAGACACCGCTCGCATTCGAGTCATCCCACATCACCTTTTACCAGGACTTAACCAGAAACACGCTGTTATGGCGCAGGTCCCTAGACCAGGTAACAAGCCGACTCTGTGAAGCCAAAATAGACTACAAATGGACTTTCCCAAGGAATCTGACCGTAACCAAAGAAGGCACCACGCACAATCTCTCATCACTACAGGAGGCCGGGCAGTTTCTGGGCACACTGGGGATCCACGGCAGAACCACAGAGCAAGAACCACCCACGACATCACACGCTTGGGACCCGGAGAGAATGACCTAATTGTCCCCAGGAACAGGGAGACCTGACTTGAACCGCAAAAACCGCAGCAAGCCAGCACACAACACATTACTCTGTTGCCTTGTTACTTTATGATTTACTATACTGCCATTGTTTGTTTAACCTAAAAATCTACTCATGCTTTACCATAAGTACTACTGTTCCCCCACCAGACGAGACCGAATATGACATGTAGAACGCCATAAGCTGCCGGGAGACTACACCTTCCTCCCCCTCCCCCCCACAACTCCCTCGGTAAGGAGTCTCATCCCAACCTACTGGACGAACACGACGGTACCAAAGGGCTCTCAGAGTGACAACCACTCGAACGCACACAAGCGAACACATGCTGACACCACACTGACTTCACAGTATCAACCCACAGGCATAAACTCCACTAAGGGAAGCCACTCACGCACGCAAGTATCCCCACCAAGAACACACGAAGGAGCACAAACACGCAAACGATCAACCCAGGACCGACTACCCACGGACATCCCCTAGGGTTAACCGCCCCCTACACTAATACTTTCCTAGTACTAGACAGGGATAGACACAAATCTAATGCCTACCCTCACGCTATCTTAGTTCGACCCAAGTTGACCCGTTATTAAAAAATGTGCAGACTTAGCAGACCTCACAACATGGAACTGACAGATAAATATATGCTTAACAAATTTGTGATGTCATGAAAGGATTGAGAAACCTGGAGGGCTGTTGTGGCCCAACGGGCTGAATTGTAACTAATTTTGCACGGAAAAATAAAGAATTAAAAAAAAAAAACTTCTTTTAAAGTAGATCCATATACAAATTTTATTGTACAAAGAAAATATATAAACATGCTTATTGTGTACATAAGCCTTATATGAATGAAATGATTTTAAAAAAGGTAGATCTTTTGGTATATGCAATGGGACCTTGAAGGTAGTTCTTGATCTTTTGATCGGGTGCTTCCAACTTAAGAAATACCTTATAAATAAACTGTAAATTTAGTGTAATCCAGCAAACAATCAGCATAATAGAAATGTATAAATGGTTAAACTCACGTTACTAGATCACATATCGCTTTGACATTTCAAAGATTCCATTTTAAGAGATATTTAAGGTGTAATACCTTCCCTTCAGAGCAGGGGTGTCCCCCGCGGCCCGGGACCGCTGGCAGTGCGGCCTGGTTGCAGTCTGGGTGGTGAGGGCAGAGCTGGACTAGCGCGGCTCCTGGGGCCGGACAGACAGTTCTAATCATTAAAAAAGGCATTTAAATTATTTTCCCCTTGGACTGTGACAGCCTGTGTCACTCCGAGGGGATTGAAGATAGAGGTGCTGGGGATGGCTGCAGCCGCGTTTAGTGTGCTGGCGGCAACAATTCCCTGCAATTCTGTGCCCAAGCCCTGCCTCCGACACGCAAGTCCTGTCGCCCTCAGACCACAAGCTCCAACCCCGCATTCAAGCAGGATAAGGTCAAAAATGGCCCCCACAGTCTTCAGTGCAAGGTAAGCTTCAGTTTGTCAGTGACTCTGTGTGTATGCTAGTGAGTGAGCTTGTATGTTTGTCTGTCAGTGCAATTGCTTGTATTGAGCATGTGTATGTGTCATTAATTTTTTGCATATGTGTGTGTGTGTGTGTATGTATGTATGTGTGTATATATATATATATATCTCATGTAGTGTGTGTGGGGGGGGGTCTGTGATTGTGTGTATATCTTTGATTATGTGTGTGAATGTATGTGATTGTGTTTGTAGGTATGTCATTGTATGTGTGTGTATGGGTCTGATTTTTGTGTGCATGGGTCTGTGATTGTGTGTAGAGGTCTGTGATTGTGTATGTGTGGCTCTGTGATTATGTGTGTATGTATGTTACTATGTGTATAGGTCTGTGACTGTATGTGTGTGTGTGGGTCTGTGTGTGTGTATATTTGGAATTGTGTGTATAGTTCCGGGATTGTAGGTGTATGTGTGTACATCTGTGATTATGTGTGTGTATGTGGTTGTGTATAGGTCTGTGATTGTACATGTGTGTGTCTGTGATTGTGTTTATATTTGTGATTGTGCACATAGGTCTGTGATTGTATGTGTGTCTGTGATTATGTGTGTATAGGTTTGTGATTGTGTGTGTGTATATCTGCAGTTATGTGTGCATATGCATATACATGTGTATATGTTTAGTAGATAGCTCCCTAATTTGGTATCCTTTAATATGGCAATCCCACATAAGGATAACAAATAAGGGATTTATCTACTAAACAATTGAAATATCAAAACTAAGAAAGGGGGTTTTGAAGTTTTATTACATAAATTAATTATATTATAGATTTTATGTGTGGCTCAAGGCAATTCCTCAGCGCTCAATGCGGCCCAGGGAAGCCAAAGGTTGGACACCCATGCTTTAGAGCAGGGGTCAGCAACCTATGGCACGTGTGCCATGCATGGCACTCAGGGTGCCTTTGCATGGCACTCAAGGCTTCTAGAGCTAAACAGGCTCTGGCCTAACAGGAGTCCCAGTGGAACTTTAGATATCTGTTAGTGCAAAAAGGTGGTGAGGGACAATCCTCAATTAATGCATTACAGCACTTAGAGGAACTCCCAGCAATTTTGAACCTGAAACCACACTGGAGTAGTGCTGCCTGCAGCAGCTATTGCAACTTCTGCCTACCACCTGTACCTGGCCAGTCCAATCCCCACTGGACCCCAAGGAAGCCATGCACGCTGCTAGATATGCACTGAGCTACAGAATAAGCCTCACCCTTATACAAAAAATACAAACAAACCACTCATAAACACACACACACTGTCCCCACAGACACACCACTGACAATCCACATACACGCACACAACTCCACAAGCAGCCTCTCGCATGCAATACCACAAGCAGCCCCACACATACACACACACACCAAACACACTATGTGACATATTATTCACTCACACAATTCCACAAGTAGCCACCATACACATCCCGCATTCATTGGTATCATGCATAATACCACAAACTACTCATAAATATATACAATATAATAGCCCATATACGCACAAATAGATCAAAGCAACTACATTGAGCACCCATAAATAACACAAGCACAATACATCAACATACACACCTTAATTTACAAAAGTAAGTACACCAAGGGACTTCACAATCTTATTTTGGCACAGTACTACTAAAAGGTTGCCTACCCCTGCTTTAGAGCATATGTTGTGATGACACATACAGTGCTTCCATCTTCTTCAGTTGAACAGTAAGGGTAACTATGTTAAGTACCACTATTATGGGTACACAGAGATTTTCAGTCAAGAGGTCTGTGGTAGTCTTATGCACACCAAAGAAGAGAGGGGAAAATGAGGAGATACTAGGATTGTAAAGAGGGTCAAAGTGGCTTGGAACTGAGCCATTTGGGAGGTGTAGAAAAAACAATAATCTCTGTTCGCAATCTGTTCGCAATCAAATAAATTGCTGTAATTTCACATGTGCACATTTATCTTTCTAATTATCTGCCTTCAAATCTTATATGCAGAATTCAACTAAACTACAATTATTTAACTATACAATAGAAAATTAAAATGTATATGGTGCATAAAGTCATTATATGTACATAAAGCCATAAACCATATATAGTATATTAAAGCGGCCCTGCAATGTGGCACCTGTTTCTTAATGATTGTACTTCCCCCATTGCCACATGCCCTTAATTATATTTATTATCTTTTCTTCTTTGTGCCAGATCCCAATAAGTGGGTACAGTCATTTTATTCTCCTCTGTCGTGATGTCTGCTGCTTGTCCTTCTGATTGGTTGTAGATACATGTAATTGGCAACTTAAACAGAACATTGCTTTAAGCTCCACCTATTGTCAAGTTGTGTCAACTTGACTGCTATGCAGATAAGGGAAAGTAATTACAAAAGAGCGCTCAGGAAATAAATAAATAGAGATTCAGAAACAGGGAACTATGTAGAAGCAAAAGGTTATATTTGGTGACAGAGCCACTTTAAGCCATAAGCCAGTTACGATTATTTGTTAGGAATCATTCTCTTTTGTACAGTCATATATTTTATTAAGCACTTGGACATTTCTTTGTGTTACTAATACAGCTTGCGTCTACTGAGAACATCCTGGCTGAAGCCACAACATCGTCTTCTGTAGTGAACCGTTTACACCAACAATTGTCCAGTCTCCATGATGACATAGGCAACATGCAAAACAAAGAACAATTGCTCTCTTCAAAGATGCAGCATACTAATATGAGGTTCCAGAACATCACTGACAAGTGGAAAAAAAGCCTGGATGACATGGACCTCCATACCAGTTCAGTTAAATCAGAGGTCAGAGCCTTCCATAACCAGTTTACTGAAAAAATAAATGCTGCTGACCACAGACTTAAACTTGTATCCAATAGGCTTAAAGAAATGGATGATAGTACATTGAGGAACATGAGAACAGTAAAAAGGCATGAAGAAGAAGAGTTTTCACGCATCAAAGAGGAACTTGAATTGGATACAAGAGCTGTCAAGGAATTGGAGAAACAACAAAGTGATTTAATTAACATAAATGAAGATATAAAACAGAGCTTGGTAGAGTTTCAACCGAAGCTGAGTGAATGCATTCAGCATTTGCCTGCCATTGAAATTGCTGTCCGCACCCTTCTCAAGGTGTCCAATGAAATGCATGAGTTGGACAAGAAGATAAATGAGGTGTCCGTTCAGGTGTTTAATACGGAGGACAACTTGCTGAAAGTTATCACAGAGATTCTGGAGATCCAGCATTCTCTAGAACGGCTGCAGTATGACAATAGCATTTTGAAAATGCAAAATGACATTTCTGTTTTGAAAGAAAAGACACAAGCATTACTCTCCGAAAAGAAATCTGACGTACGGTACCTACAAAATGAAAAGGAACCAATGAATGAGGATCAAAATTAATTGAAGCTTTTCATATAAATCCAATTTTTCACAATTTTTATTTTTTTTATTTAGCAGACTAAAATGGTTTCTTCCATTTGAAAGAGCATGTTTTTAACATTCACACATCTTATTATATGTAGAAGTTCACAAGTCTTCACAGAGTTAAAATATATAAATGGCGTTATGAGGGACAGGCTACTGTAACTTGTTTAATCTATTCAATGCTGTTCATGGTAGCAGACATTGTGGCATTTTAAAGAGGTTATAATTGAATGTATCCAATGAGCTGACCACTTCAGCTCAATGAAGTGGTCTGGGTACCAGGTCCCTCAGGGTTTAACCCTTCACATGTAAACATAGCAGTTTCAGAGAAACTGCTATGTTTACATTGCAGGGTTAATCCAACCTCTAGTGGCTGTCTTCCTGACAGCCTCTAGAGGCTCATCTGCGATGCTGGATGCGAAATTCGCCTCCATCGCGCAGAGCGTCCATAGGAAAGCATTGAGAAAGGCTTTCCTATGCACACTTTGAATGTGCGCACGACACTCCAGTGACGTCGGCGGGGGAGGAGAGGTCACCAGCGCCGGGGGAGCCCGGCGCTGGATTAAGGTAAACTGCTGAAGGGGTTTTAACCCCTTCAGCACCACGGGTGGGGGACCCTGAGGGTGGGGGCACCCTTAGGGCACTATAGTGTCAGGAAAACCGCTTTGTTTTCCTGACACTATAGTGATCCTTTAAATATATAGACTACATATTATGTATTCAAAAGTGAAAATATACATTTAAATTCTGTTTTATTATGTCCTGGAATATAGTTATTACCCGACTCAGTGCTAAACGTTTTAAAGGGACACAATAGGCAACCAGGCCACTCCAGCTCGTTGTGTCCCAATTCCCTTAACCCTGCAATGGTAATTATTGCAGTTTCTGAGAGGGTTAACTCCACCTCTAGTCGCAGCCTCTAGAGGGACTTTCCGGGTGGTTAGGTATCCTCATGTTCTCATTCCAAATCAGCATTGGAGAGCATTATACAATGCTTTCCTATTGGGGAAGTCATAATGCGAGTGCGGCTCTCGCTGCACATGCACATTAGGTCTTTCCCACTGGCTGACGTCGGTGGAGCGGTGCAGAGCCTGACCAGGGCCAAAGGGATATCGGCGCTGAATTCAGGTAAGTGATGAAGGGTTTTGAAACAACTTTGTTTTCCTGGCACTATAGTTTCCCATACACAAACTCAGAAAGATAAATGCTTCAGATGATCCTACAGGGAGTAGAGTCCATGGTCTTGATGTTGGTATATTAAAGAACTTATCTTTTTCTTTTTTAAATTATATTTCTGAACCATTGATGGAAACAGCAGCCTTGCCATAGTATTGGACTTTACTGTCACAGTGCAAATTGTGTAATCCCAGAAGGCAGCATTTACAAGATTTAGTAGCGGGTAGCTAGGAAATATGTAGATGTCATACCCTAAACCCTTAGATATAATAACAAATAAAGCTTCTCCTTAACAAGAAAGCAAGTGGAATGTATAGAGTATAAAGCAAGATCTGTGTGTTGTGTTAACATTTTTTAATAAGGATTGCCATTTTTCACATAATTTTTTTAATAAAAGATTTCTGTCTACCAGCTGTGAAAATCATTAGACTATGAGCACTTTGGGATTTCATCTAATCTGCCTCCTATTTCCTCTTCTCAGCAAAGATTTTTAAATAAATGGATGTCTGCAGTTTAATGCAGTTTGATCTTGGAGCTTTTAACCACAATTAGATTAATCACCATCCATGACAGATGTATCATGAGCAGGTCCAGGTTTGGCACTTGGCAGTAAATCTGGAGAGAATAGAAGAGGAGTACTGTTAGGAAATTAAAGGATCACTATAGGGTCAGGAACACAAACATGTATTCCTGACCCTAAAGTGTTAACACCACCATCTAGCCCCCCTGGGCCCCTCATGCCTCCATAAATATAGAAAAATCTTACTGTATTCAAGCCTGAAGCTGTAATTCTGCATGTTGTTAGACTCAGAAAAACAAGCAGTCTGCTGACATCATTAGAAGTGGAGGCCTGATCCAATCACAATGCTTCCCCATAGGATTGGCTGAGACTGACAAGGAGGCAGATCAGGGGCAGAGCCAGCATGATTCAAACACAGCCCTGGCCAATCAGCATCTCCTCATAGAGGTGAATTGAATCAATGAATCTCTATGAGGAAAGTTCAGTGTCTGCATGCAGAGGGAGGAGACACTGAATGTTTGGATGCATTTTAGGCAGCCATGACCCAGGAAGGATCTCTAACAGCCATCTGAGGAGTGGCCAATGAAGTTATCACTAGGCTGTAATGTAAACACTGCATTTTCTCTGAAAAGACAGTGTTTACAGCAAAAGGCCTGAAAGTAATGATTCTACTCACCAGAACAAATTCAATAAGCTGTAGTTGTTCTGGTGACTATAGTGTCCCTTTAAGGCAAGGGTGAACATATACCAGTCATGGAACACGCCAAATTTTGGACTCAGTGAAATTTTTTTTTTTTATCTATATATTGTGGTAGCAAATATATCTTTTTTTTATTATTTTTATAAAAATTACAGAAATTATAAAAGGAAACAAACCTATTTAAAAGTTTGGTACTTTTCCCACCTGATAATCACATCTCTGCTTAGAGTGTTATGTCAATAATTATCGTGACACTGAAGAGGAGGCACATATCAATTACCATCTGCTGAAAGAAACACAATAGTGTCAGGGATACAAACATGTGGACTAGGAAACACCTCAAGTGGCTATGTGAGTGACTGCATCGAAAGGTGTTGCTAGGCAGCACTGTATAAATGGCAAGGTTTACATTGAAAACCCATCAGAGGGATAGGATGTTCACATAACCCTACAGGGAGTCCATAGGCTCTAAAGTTAGTACATTAAATAGCTGAGCATATTTCAGTTATTGAAGTTTCCAAATTTATAAGACATAGGTTCACTTTAAGGTTACGAAATGGAGAAAGGGGTTAGGGTTTGGAAATCAGAGAACATCTTTGATAAAGTAAGAGAGGGACTAGGAAAGATTAGGTTGAGGGAAAGGGTCAGTGGATAGGAAATATTGGTCTAACAAATCAAAAGACGGTTTCTTGTTTTACTGCCAGATAATGAATCATTTAAAAAATGTGCTAAGCAGTGCCAAAAACAGGCAACTTCCAGGGCTCTTTAAAATATATATTTTTTTAAATTGTAGTGAAATATTTGAATCCATAAACCATGGTATAAAAACAGCTTCTATCATCTCTGTACACTTCTCATACCCTTCTGGCACCTCTTCAGCATGAATGGTACAAACCATTCAAACTGGCCACAATCATCTTCAATTTGCTTTCAATAAGATCCATATCTATAAAACAAGTTAGAAATATTACAAAATAACAGCATTGAGCAGCTAGTGCCAATGAGGTGTTGAGGTCTATACCTAGGAATTTGATATTTCAAGCTTAACCCCTTAAGGACACATGACGTGTGACATGTCATGATTCCCTTTTATTCCAGAAGTTTGGTGTTTAAGGGGTTAAAGCAGCTCTGTCACCTTCTGAGGTCTTTACATATTTTGCAAAGATAGTGACTGCTTCACTGGCAGTGCAATGGCCTGGCCTGGGGGTGCAAGGGAAGGTAGTCTTTACTGACCTGACCCTTTCCTCCAAGGCCTCCACCATCTTCATCTGTGAGGTCTTTGCAAGCTAGAGTGTATACTACTGATGTCTTTGGAGTATCCTGCATACCCTTCAGGTAGTCCCTATATTTTTTTTTTGCTGCTTTAAGACACAAGAAAGGCAAGTGTATTTCATATAATAACATGGCACTTCATGAAATTGTTTGGAAATGTTAAAGGATCACTATAGTATCAGGAAAACAAATCTGTTTTCATGAAACTATATATTCCTTAGGGTCCCCCCACCCTCTGAAACTGCTATGTTTACATCTGAAGGGTAAAACCTGGGGCACCTGGCATCCAGACAACTTCATTTAGCTGAAGTGGTCTGGGTGACTACAGTGGTCCTTTAACACAGCATATAGACCAGGCTGGATCTGTCGTGGCCTACCAGCTCTGTTTTGTGGGAAATGTTGGGTGACACAGGCAGGCACAAGGTTGCAGTGGCTGCAAGCAGTCTAACAGTCTTAGAATGTTTTATCTTCGTATCTGTGCTTCGCTGGGTGCTGATCTTCGCCCCTTCTCTGCAAGTAGGAGAGCCAAAAGTTCTTGTTTAGGAGTTTCTGTTAGCTCTCCTGAGGGAGTGCCGGCCTAGCTCATTGGCTGAGAACTATAATCTAATCCCTGCATCCACAGTTTTCTTTAGTAGCTTTGAGCAGTGCCAAGCAGACCTCTGGTTCTTCACCGGTTTGATTTCTTATGACCGGGGTGTAGTGTTTCCTGAACAATTCAAATGATAATCCAGTTCACTAATAGTCAAATTACATTTTAAAGTTCAATATTGTATTGTTGTGGTCACAGAAATATTTATTTCCAGCTATTTTCTATCTTGGTAGAAGTTATGTATTGGGGTAGTGTTATTTTGTAGTTAATCCATTTTGGCTTCCGGCTGTCTTTTTGTCATGTTTTCAAGTATTCACTGAACCCATTTTTAAAAATAGCTAAAGGGCAAATGGGCAGACAGGCAAGGCTAATAATGAAAACATAGCATTATTCTCAAAGCATGTTTTAATATGCAGATGTATTTGTTTTACTTTTGTTTCACTAGACCAAAACATTTGATACGTTATCTATCACAAGCCACAGCACACATTTTCAGCAGCTATTTTTTTTATGAAATATATAATCTAAACAGGTTATGGTGGGGGAAAATGTGATTGAAAACCCCTTCCACCTGAAGTCTGTGAATAGTCAATACAATGTTAAACAAAAATCTGCACACCAGTCAAGCCATAAGACTTGCTTTTCCCACAGAAATCACAAATCTGCAGTGATGTTACTACCGCAAAGGATTGGGCATATGCAAATTAGTTTAACAAAGATTCACATTTTTGCCTCATTCCATTTTAAACATGGATTCCTTTGAGTCTGTGTTTGCTGTATACAACAGCTTTTGAAACATGACTTTGGAAAAGATGCAAAGCCAGTGAACCACTCATGGACAGCTGTTTCATTAATGCAAATCATCAGCATGAGGTTGGTTACTGGTTTGTTTAGTGAGGCTTGGTAGTGTTGGGGAAGCAAAATCCAAATAGGTTATGGTGGGGAAAAATTGTGATTGAAAACACCTTCCACCTGAAGTGTGCAGATTTTCGTTTAGCATTGTATTAACTATCCACAGATTTCCAGTAGAAGGGGTTTTCAATCACAATTTTTTCCCAACTATAACCTATTTGGATTTTGCTTCCCAAGCACTACCAAGTAAGTCTAATATAGAAGTTTGTAAATATACCCATTTCTGGATCCTGAATTTGGGTTGACTCTTCTGGTCTACCCGACATTCAAATATTTATAACCCCTGGCCTAAGGCAAGGGATTTTTCATGTAGATTATCTTTTTATTTCCACAGACATTTTATGGGCTTTTACAACTGTTTCAGGTTACATTTTGTTTACCCCTTTCACTAACGTCTGTGTGTGTAGTTTAATACATGTGTTGAGTTTCGGCATATTTGTTAAAATAACATAGCCTGATGATCTCCCCTTATTCTTTAGTCTTTGGGGCAAAATAACACTCTAGGCCCATAAATTGGATGTAAATTCTTGTGAAAGAATAAAGGACCAAAAAGCCACATAAGTATGGAACAATTTGAAGATTTGGGAAGATCATTGCTGTGATTAGGTGCAACTGAGCACTATGTCCCACAATTTAGACCCAGAGACCCAACAATCAGCCAGCGAGCTTAGAGTCTTCAGGTCAGACCTAGCAAGTTAATGTTTGGTCATAAGCCCCTCGGACACATAGAACAGTGAATTCAAAACTAACACAAGTATTTTAGTACTTTCATTACTACCCTATCAAATAACACTCTAGGCCCATAAACTGGACGTAAATTCTTGTGAAAGAAAAAAGGACCAAAAAGGGTCACGATACTCACTAAAACAATTACAGCTTATTCAGAGAAAAGGCAGAGTTTACATTACAGCCTAGGTAAACCTCTACTGGCCACTCCTTAGATGCTCTGCATAGAGATGCTGAACATTCCCCATAGAGATGCACTGATTCAACGCATCTCTATGAGGAAATGCTGATTGGCCATGGTGCTGCTTGGCTCCGCCCCCACCTACTTGACTGAGATCATTCATTCTGATGACGTCAGCCAAGGAGGCTGATTGGGGGGGGCGGCAGACGCAAAGAGCCCCGTGCAGCAGCGCTGAAAAAGGTGTGTAAATCATCTTTCTAACCCTAAACAGTGGTTTTAGAATTATAGGGTCCGGACTGTTTGTGTTCCTGACACCATAGTGCCCCTTTAACATAGAAAGTAAAGTAAATCACTTTAAAATTATTTCTGAATTTACGTTCAATACATTTTAACGACCTGTAGAGCTACCTATATCTTTGAATGACATTGCATTGTATTTATGCCTTTTTGACTGCTGAAGCCATTCCAATAAAAAAAGCACAATGACCTTTCGATGTTCAACAAAACATAGGTCTATTTTCCTAATTTGGATACATATTCTTATTTTGCCTTGTGACACAAGAGGGCACTATGTAGTTGACATGCATTTCACCTGCTGCTCTCTATCACACAAAATGTAAACCTCATACTGAACATGCGTTTTACTGCAGATGATTTGTTCATATGTGGACAAGGGGGTGTTGGAGATTTCATATCTGATATCAGATGTTTGGATAATGAATGGAGTATCCCAAGGATAGGATGTTTTCATTCATAAAGAACATATCGGTTAAAAAGGTTTTTTTGTTTTTTTTTATAGGTTAAAACTAAAAACCAGTAAACATGTTTAGACATTCTGAGAATATTACAGTTTTTTACGTTTGTAGATATGAATAATAAGTTTATTAATTTTGAAGGCATTGCATACAAATTTATCTCCTTCTAGGTAATGTGCAAGTAGTTGTGTAGGGAAAAATGTGGTTCAAAAAAAAAAAATCTACATGACAGAATTTTATCAATGTAGTGGTTGAGCGCGTCCAAATTTCATCCAAACAAATCAAATGATCAAAAGGGCACAGAAAGAGACCAATCACTGTACTACAAAATATTTACATGATATATATTCTGTATATATTTTGCAGTAAATCAATAGGTGCATTTTAAAATTCATTTGGTTCACAAAGCAAGTGAGTAGGGATGTGGAGGGAGCAGTAAAAAAGATTTATATTTGTATATGTATGTATTAGGTATTTATTGAATATATGTACACTGGTCACTTCTCACTTGATCAATGAATAAAACCAATAAAACGTTTAGTGGCTGTGTCCTAGTCATTAATCATCTCTTTTTCCCATCCATTATCTCTTTTTTTTCTGTGCTACTCTAAACTCAAAATCACAAATCAAAACAAACATTCTCATCCATTGTGTGAGTTGTTTGTTCGGTCATATGGCGTATTGGAGTTTGGAAATTCAGCCGATTAATCATTCAGCCAGATTTTGGACGAATTGCTTTTCTGGACGATTTGAATCTCCAAGTCTAGTAGGGAGTTTGAAAACAGCTAGGTAATTTGCTTAATATGTCTGATGCACAAATATCCTAAACCCTTTAAGTTAAACAGCTGCAAACATTAATGCAAAACATTATTTGTCAGCAACATGGTTTAAATATGCTGTTGCATTCACCTGCTCAAAAGTTCAATGTGTTCAATCCCCATATCTACATGCCTGTAGTAGGCCACATGGAGGTGTTGATCAGTTTATGCATGTGGTCGTAGCCAATGAAACAGACATTTGTCAGACCAGGGGTTGCTTTTCATCACATGGCTTGGTTATCAGGGATTGTTTTTCATCATCTGGTTTTTGTTCCTATTTTAGTCATCTTCCTGTTTGCAAACTGGGGTGGGCTTAAAGCGTTTGGCTTCCAAAGATGTCATTCTGCACAGCATAAGCACATGTCTGACCAACCTCTTACCTCTTTCATAAGTGTTTATGTCCAGCCAATCACTGGATGTTTTTTGTTTCTCGCACCGTTCTCTGTAAACCTTAGCGACTGTAGTAAGTGATATTCCAGGAGGACAGCTGTTTCTAAATTGTTAGGGCCGTCAAAGTCATTTAGCTCATATATCTTCCCCATTTAAATGTTTGACAAAATAGCAACTAAACCTCCTGACTATCGGTTTGTTTGTTATTGGTAGTGGTGTTGTGAGTCAGCTGCTAAGCTATTATAGTTCCATTTTAACAACAGGCTAAAACAGTGCGGTCCCATCCTACTCCCTGGATCGATCATATCCCCCACTTGAAACTTGGTATGTTTTCCAATTTATTTTCCAATTCATTTTTATAGCTTCTCCACCACTAAGTATTTATTGAAAGGGGAAAATTGCCCACGTTAATAAATGGTTAATTATAGGGAGTGGTAGGTAGGGTTCCTGAAGTTGGCATGTTGTTTAGAGGTAACCCGGGAAGGTGATAAAAATAGGATTGTTAAATCCGTCCCACAATTGCAGGACGAAGCCTTCCCATTTGTGGTCGGCTACCAAAGCCAATAACAGTTGAGCAGTTGGAAAAACTACCTTTTAGAGTGCAAATCGGTTAGGCCAGAATAAAGGAGGGCCAAAAAATGTTTAATGGTAAAAAGAAAGTGACATTGACAATTTTGGGAGGAAATATTTAATGGGAGTGACTGATTTACACCATCTTTTTTATGATGTGTATATTATTGAAATGTAACCCAGTCTTTGGACACATTTTGATATGATCATTATTTCATATGTAGTCATGAAGTCTTGGCCATTTGATCTGCTAGTGAGTGTATTCTACTGAACAGTGGCGGATCTAGAGCCTGATCTCGGGAGGGGCACTTGTAGATTATTTAAATAAATAATCCAGGCACAATAACCACTACAGCTCAGTGTAGTAGTTATGGTGTCAGTAGTGCCAGGATTCCACCCCAGAGTAAGTAGTCATACCGTTTAAGAACAGTTTGACAACTTACCTGGGGTCTGCTGGGATATAGGGTATAGGAGCAGTGGTGTGTGTTAAGGGTGAAGTGTGTGAGTGCGGCAGTGTATGTCAGGGTTGTAGTGTGTGTGTTAGGGGGCAGTGTATGTATGAGGGCACTGTATGTGTTTTTGGGGCAGTGTGTGTGTATGGGGACAGTGTTTGTGGGGCAGTGTGTGTATGGGGACAGTGTTTGTGGGGCAGTGTGTGTATGGGGGGGCAGTGTGTGTAATGGGGGGGCAGTGTGTGTATGTGGGTGGGGGAAGGAGGCTTTTTAATAATAATTTAATAAAATAAATATTCTATGTCCCCCCTCCCTTCTTACCTTTATTTAGGAGGAGGGGGGACATTTCCCTGGTGGTCCGGTGGGGAGAGTGAACAGAGGGGGATTAGGCCTCCCGAATCTTTATTATTATTACATAGCAGTGCAGCTGGCACAAGTAGCACTATGGCACACCGCACCGGAGGAGAGAAGGTGGGTAGACTTAGAGTCCTCCCTCCTAGGTACAGACTTACCCCAATTCATGATGTGGATCCCTAAGGAACACAGACCGATAACCCAGGTTGCATGTCCCGCAATATCTAACTCCCTTAAGATATGGGATGAGGCAGCTACCAAATATGGCTTGGCGTCCTCCCCCTCACCGATGACCCCATTCCTGAGGAACAGAGAGTTCCCCCCAGGAATGATAGCAAGGGACTTTAGAGGTATTGAGAACGCGAGACTGCAGAGAATGAGACATTTCTTCGAAAATGGCTCAATGGTGATGTTTGAGGAGTTGAAAACCAGGGCCCCAATGAGAACTTTTGATTATTTCCGATACTTACAGTTAAGGGACTATGCCCAAAACCCGCGAGTTAAGAAAGCGGCCCTCACACAATTAACATCATTTGAAGGAATGTGCTTTAGGGAACAATTCCCGAGTGGGCTAATCTCATTCCTATATTCCCAATTGAGTACGCAAACGCTAGAATGGGGACGGATTACATAGACAGAACAATGGGAAGCTGACCTATGCGAGGAATTGGAGGGCATAGAGTGGCAGGAGATTTGGGAGGCCGCAGCCACGTCCTCGGTGTGTGTCTCTTTGCAGGAACAATCGTTTAAGACCTTATTTCGCTGGTACACTACGCCGGTGAAGTTATTCTGAATGAACAAAACCACCACAGATTTGTGTTGGAGAGGCTGCAGATTACAGGGCACCTATATCCACATGTGGTGGGACTGCCCGGAAGCGCACGTGTATTGGAAACGGATCGCGATGTTAATGGGCGACATTTTTGAAAAAGAGGTCAAGTTAGACCCTTGGGTGTTCCTTTTGGCCAGATCTATTGACGGTTGGACAAGAGCCGAACAAAACCTTTTACACAAACTAACCTTAGCTGCTAGACAGGCATTGGCACAGGTATGGTTACAAAGGGAGACACCCATGACCCCTGTGGTATTGCAAAAAATTCAAGATACCTTCCATATGGACAAGTTAACAGCACAGGTTCGAGGTTCCATGACCAAATTTGAAAAGACCTTGTGCCCTTGGACGGCTAGCACAGTCAGTGGCTAGGGGATGGGCGGGGCAGGTTCGGTTCGATCCCCAATGTACACTGCAGAACTTCAGAGAGTTATTGAAAGGGCGAGGCACATGGCACCTACCTTCAAACAGGGAGACCTCTCAGACCCCCCTAGGGGAGTCTTGGGAACCTAATGGCCCAGAGTCCGAACCGGACACGGGGTATAAACCTGTCGACCTCTCGCATTTGGTGACACAAGCGGACCCCAGGGTTGCTCCCCCGGGTCCCCCACCCCCCATACTCTTCTTCCTTACCCCTCTTCGCTAATCTCTTTATCCTTTCTATCCATTTACATTCTCTAATTTCTTATACGTCAGGTACGGTTGTACAGCGAATAATTCCTCATGGAACATTTGGAGAAAAAACAAAAATATGCTATTACATTACCCTCTGACGCACTTAACAGGGGTATAGACCTCCGAGTGAACAGAGCTCTCTCCTTACTATATTATTAGACAGATCGTACATGAATCTATTCTAATTACAAAAATAAAAACCAGGGCAGGTTGTTGAATGTTGTAAATCTCCAAGATTGGCTTTAAGACACACTATACTACATGACCTTGTGGACTACCAAAGATATACTTTATACGGAAATGCCCTTTATACCCACAAGTACAGTACTATTGTTAACATTTATACGTATTCATGTGTCTTTGTATAGCATACTCATGTTATGGTCACGTTGTATGGTTTTACTCTGTCTTGAGATAAATAAAGAATTCAAAAAAAAAGATTAAGCAATTGATCTCATAAGCCAGTTCGTTCTTGGTACAATCAGGACACATGTTGAATTGGAGAAGGAGAAACCGAAAGCATAGGGGAGATTTATCATGTGTTGTGTTGTGTTCTGAAAAGTGTTGCAAAGGAGGAGTCACCAATACTTTTATAAATCATCCAGTGTTTCTGCATCGTCTCTTCCACTAATTATGTCCATCATGTAGGTAAATGCAGCAGTGAAAATTTCTTCATTTAATTTTATTTTTTAGACCTTGCAAACACATATTTGCCAAATATAGAGAATAAGTAAACATAATATTAAAATCCAGTCAAGTGACAGTTCACTTATTAAGGGACCTAGAGTCCTGAAATAACAGTCGTTATTTCGAGACTATAAATTCCTTTCTGTCCACCCCCTTTAGCATTCAAAAGTTATTCAATCATTACTCACCTTGTTTCCAGCAACATAACTCCTCCACTGCAACCTCCAGCTCCCCCTTCTGTGATGTCAGCATCCAAGCTAACATCACATGACATTTTCTAATCTCATGCTTCTGTATGGAACTAGGCATGTGCAGCTAAGCACCATGCTCCTCCAATCAAATCCTGTTATCAGCAGCATTTGATTTTTGGACCGAGTTTCACTTGGTTCTGGAGGAGGAACAGTCTCTGGTGCCTATCAGTAAGCCAGTTACTAGAAGTGGATTTAACTCTGCAATGTTAACAATGAAGTTTCTAGTAAATTGCAATGTTTTACATTGAGGTGTTAGAATTGCAGGACCACTGTACACATGTATGATGTGGTTTTGGCGACCACTGTGTCCTTTAACCCCTTAAGGACCAAACTTCTGGAATAAACGGGAATCATGACATGTCACACATGTCATGTGTCCTTAAAGGGTTAATTCTAGAAAGAGGCCAGCTGGCTTTTGACTACATTCCTGTCATTGGCTACCACACACACTATGAAATGGATTCCTCTTTCTGTGTCTGCTAATTTCATTGTATATTTTGTTCTCTCAGTCATACTGACCAACTTGTTCTTAATGATTCTATTGTTTGCTGCCTGCCCCAGTCATTGGTTTGTTTAACATTCATCTAGACCTCTAATCCTGAAGTCAACTTGATCCTGTTTACGTTAGTTTGTCTGCTGGCAGGTTCCAACTAGTCTCACTTCCTTGGAGGATTAATTGTTAAAGCTTCACGGTCACCCCTCCTGAAAAAAAAATAATATTCGTAAAAAAATGATCATTATGAAATACTAATTTTGACTGTGTTGAAATTGCACTGAAATTCCACCCAGACAAGAGATATACTGAGACAAATTAAGGATTACTTTGTCTATGTATTTCTCCCCCGCCTGACTTTCAGAGTCTATGTGTCAATCCCGACACACATTTCAGTGAAAGAAATACACATTCACTGACAGACACACACACACTGACAAATACACACACTCGCTGACAGCCACATACAAACATTGACAGACACACACACACACACATTGACAGACATACTTACTGAAAGACACACACACCCACTGACAGACACACACTCACTCACTGACAGACACACACTATCATTGACAGACACACATTATCACTGACACACACTATCACTGACAGGCATTCATTAAACGATAAACATACTGACATACACTCCCACTGATTTGACACTTTATACAAGTGAAGCTAGCATTCAGCACACACAGGTAACAACAGCATATAATACAAACCTCTTTGATCATGTCCCTCTTCTGTGACATCACGATCCTCTGGGTCTTTCCCCACCACCACCACCACAACGCAGGCAATGGGAGCAGGTTCCCCCAAGCCACTGTAATTAGGTGTTTGTCCCATATCCTGGCCAGCTGCCTGCCATCCTCCTGTACTTCCTCCAGCCCCACCGGACTGGCCTGAGGGGCTAATGCAACAACACCCCGCTCATCAGTTTGTGGGAGTCTGACAGGAAGCACATGGTGATGAATCAATTCATGAGCTGGAATCCGGACAAATTTCAGGGCGCAGGGCCCAACAGCAGCAGGCCAGGGTCCGAGACTCTACCCCCCCCGCCCCCCCAAGGACACTTCTTCAATACAAGGTTTAGGAGAGCTTATGGGAAGGCACGTAGTGTTGCCGGTTTTGTCAGCAGGCGTCAACATGGCGGCCATGACCTCTGAATTGACTGGCCTGGTCACAGCTGCAGCCCTCCTTACAGGCAGGTATCGTCACCTCTGCCTATTCCTCTGCAGCTGTCCTTACAGGCAGGTATCCACTAGCTTTTTGCCTAGTAATTTAACTATAGGGAGAGATTTTACTGGGGATTTGGCATTCTGTATTATTTTAGTTCTCCCGCGTAATGATTATTCTCAGTTAGCAAACAGATAATTTGATAAAATAGTATCTCTTACAAACTCACAAATTTACAAAAAGTGTTTCTGGTGTCCACATGAAATAACACTGTTTTTCCCAAAAAGTGATTATAGTGGAAAATATAAATATTAGCAACTTCCCTCAATAGCATAGGATATGCCTGAAGATCTCCTCCTATCTTCAATTCAACACATGTATAGTATAGGGCTATTCCAGCTAGGGAAGCAAAAATATAACATAGTGCAACACTGTGTATAATAATACGGGATATAAAATTAAGTGTCAAGTGATCACTCACACTTTGACATCAAATAAAGTGCCTTCAGAAATATATTGGTGTGTGTCTTCTTGCTTCAATGCTGAATAGATGATAATCTCATACAAAAGATAGAAAAAGTTATTACTGTCCGGACGGCGGTGCGTGGACCTGGACCCATGTATGCCTAATGTTCAGAGTAGGAATCACAGTGTGGAGGTGGATTAGCAGGGTCTGGTGCAGGGTAACCGCACGGCCCCTGGTGTTGAGCACCAGCGTTTGTGCAGCCACATACCAGAACCCTGATTCAGTTTATGCGGATCCCAGGAACTAGGAGCAAGAATTAAGCAGACCTCCCAGGAGCTGAATAGGGAAGCTCTACAGCAGGGATGTATCCAGTACTGAAGCAAGGCAAGAGAATGGCACCATGCATGCAAACAAGACAAAACTAGGAGAACAGGGCAAGACTAGAGATAGGCACCATACATTAAAACAAGACAAAACTAGGATAACCCAGAACCAGAGCAGGATAGAAAGCATAACCTAGAACATGTATACAAGACATGAGGAAAACAAGAACATAACATGGGCATGACTGAACAGGACTGTACATGGACTGAGATTGCAAGACAAAGTAAAACAAGACAAGAGATACACGGTAAAACAAGAGGAAACATAGCTAAGCACTAATTATGAAAAGTATGGGGATTTAGTTACATTATATGATCATACATTGCACAAGCCTGCCAACAACGCCAATGTACCCCATATCTGGCAGGTCCTACACTGCCTAATGTTTACTAAAATAACCACACTATACCACAATAGCACTTACCTGCAAGAAAGGGCAGAGACATGAAACACTGCTGCAGGTCCAAGCTGAAACAAAAGGAAAGTGGAAAACAAACAAGTGTGGCAACATAAAACAAACATTTAAGTGAATCCAAGAGACTGGGAAATCCAGGGACAGAATATAATAATGAACTCAGAAACCCAGCAATAAAGAAAACCAGAAAAACCAAGCAAGGACAGCAAAAAGAGTACTGGATACCAGAAGCCATTGCCACAATGATCCGCAGCGAGGAACGGGATGTGACATATGGCACGCAAGTACTTACCCATTAAACCATTTATAACCTCAGCATGGACGACATGCTATCTAATACATCTGGCGAGGATATCCCGAACACATGATAGCCTCTGTAATCTATTAGACCTCCCCGAAGGTGGTTTATGTAAGCCCTACAAATCCCACCCCGGTATAGAAAAGAAACCCAAGGAATACTTAAGTAGACATTTAGTGGGTTAATAGCTGCTTGATCCAAGGAGACATCTGACTGCTATTTTGGGGTCAAGAAGGAATTTTTTCCTAGTTTGTGGCAAAATTGGAAGCGCTTCAGACCAGGTTTTTTTGCCTTCTTTTGGATCAACAGCAACAACATTTGTGAGGAAGGCTGAACTTGATGGACGCAAGTCTCTTTTCAGCTATGTAACTATGTAATTTAGCCACTTTCAAAAAAGTTTGCTAACCAGTGTTTCCATATTTTAATAAATGAACCAAATCTTTTAAAACTAAAAATTAACCTTTTCCCATGTTGCATTGGCAAAACGATTGCTTTGCTTATTTTTCAACATTCTTGCAATCACTATTTTCATAGCCATAAAGGTCTGAATAGTCAAATGCCTTCCATTCTTATTTAGTTTATCTAAATGTAGATGAAGAATGGCTTTTTCTGAAGTTGTGGAGAATTTTCACTTTTAAGAGATGCGATATTATGTTAGAAATGTAATTCCTTTTTTTTTTTTTAACTAGTCTACTAGTCTCTGATTTTCTGATTTTTGACAAACGTATATTAAATAATAATACTACATTATATTCCGCATTTCAACAATATTCTTCATTGCAAACTTAAAAATATGTATACCAACCTTCCACGTAGTTTACAGATGCTTAACCAAAAGTGGAAACCAAATGTTAATGCTTTTGATTATCTTAGCAGTATATTAACTTATTTTTTCCCATTCTTTAGTTGCAAGAGACAGAAGAGGCTGTGATGACATTCAAGGCTCTTGACATTGCCCAACGTACAGAACATCTGCAGAGAGATATTAGCAGTTTGAAAGCATGGTCCAGCACTATTTCAGAGAAGAGGGAACAGCTTGAAGGAAACCTGACCACATTACAAACAGCTATTACCAAAATCGAGACTAGCACTGTAGCCATCACTAAAGACGTATCTATGAAGATTAACGCCGTAAAGACAGATGTTAGACGAATATCCGGTTTCGAGAGTGATATTAATTCACTGATGGAATCAGTTGACCAATTAGAAACAAAACTGGACAAAGTAGAAAAGACCACAGTACAGAGCATCGGTGATTCACTCGCAGCTAGCATTGACCGCTTTAATGAATTAAAGGATGAAATATCTAGAAATTCTGAGAGAGTAGATCTGATGAAAAAGAGGTTAGGAGAACTTAGAAGTAATTTTAGTAACAATTCAGAAAAACTACAAGATTTAGAAAGCGATAGGATCAAAGTTATACAGGCTGTACATTTCGCTAATGATTTAAAGCCCAAGGTATTTACAATAAGAAAAGACATGAGTCAAGTTGAAAACACTCTGAATGACCTGTCATTAAGAATAGGCCGACTAGCACATGATCTATTGGGCAGAGAGAAGGAAATTGTTCTGATAAATGACAAACTGTACAACTTAACAGTGATGAAGTCAGAAATTCTAGACTTAAGCCATGAAATAGGGAGTGACCTAGAAACCAGTTAAAGCAGAATTTAAGCTTGAGAAGTGCTATATTGGCTATTTAAGCATTGTGCTGACTTTGCTGACCAATAGGGCCTTGGGCACATGTGGGCGCTCGTACATCTACCACAGAAATGTTGTGCGCACGCATGCGCAACATATTCAGCATTTTTCAGTTGTGCGTTCGTGCCTGCAAGAAGCATGTACTTTTAAAGTAGGGGTGGGGAACCTTCAGCCCTCCAGATGTTGTGGACTACATCTCCGTTGATGCTTTAAGGAGGGCCGAAGGTTCCCCACCCCTGATTTGTAGTAAAAGAAACTACAAATACATTTCTTTTTAGTACAAACAGTAGCTAACTTGGGTACTAGTCTTAAAACATTTTCAGACTTTAATGTGTTTTAAGTTAAGAGACTCCAGACGTGTGTGTGTGTTTAATTTTATTATTATTCTTTTACTGCTGCATACAGAACAAGGATATTTGTATCTAAAATACAGCAAAGAGGCAGTAAAGCAGCAGGAGTTAGTGAATATTAGTGAATATATGAACTGGACTTGCTGCTTGGCAATGGAACAATGATAACATGGTATTAAAAAAGGTGAAGCACAAACATTTCAACCATTTCTATAATATTGTTTTTGCCCTGATATGTTTGTCATGGTATGTCTCTTGTTATTTGAAATGTACACTTTTTTATCAAAAGCTTTTAGTCAGTGTTTTTTTTGTTTTTTTTAAGAACTGTCTTCACTTGATGATGTAAAATACATTAAAGTGTTTTTTTTTACTAAACTGTTTGTGAGGAACTGATAAGAGAATTGAAGAGTTTAGGCAAAAATAGTTGAGATGCAATACAACAGTTATAATTTTTTTTCCACTTTGAACATTTTGATCTAAAATTTACAATTTCCTTCTTAATTATCCTCAAAATTCCAGATAAGTAAATAAAGAAGATCAAAGCTGCAATGTAATTCATATCTCTCAAATGTCCCCATTTATGACAGACAATCCCTGTTTTGGGCCCAGATCCCTCTGTCCTTCTTTTCTATCCCTATCTTTTCTAGGAGCTAGATTTTGTTGGTGTGTCTGCGTGTGGAACATAGCTCCACAGTAATAATACTAACAATAATGTGTATTTAAACCGAAATAAAATGTGTTTAGAAATCAGTCTGTGTAAATAAGATACATTGTTCTCGTTCTAAATTACATCTAAATTGTATAAATTGTTATCAATACATGACATAAAATTTCTCAGAACATCCCCAATAACACCCTAAAATTAAAGTGTCTGTCAGAAATGTTGGGAGGTGTGAAATGCCTCCCCTAACCACAAACTGTTTGGCTATAATAGCAACGTACAAGTAGTCCTGTACATTTTTCATTCCAAAAATTTGAATGGGGGCATCTCACAGATTGCATGTGTTTTATATGAGTAGTGGTAAATATATATAAAGATATGTAGTGCTCTACAGGAGATTTATACTAACATTTGTTTCCCACTGATGTTTCCAAAAAAATGCAGCAACAGGGAAATAAAGACTCACGTAGCATTTAATTAAATTGCTATAAAAGTTAAAACTGCTACAAGATAATTTCATTTTTTATTTTTTTTGCTGATAGTTCCTCTTCAATGAGCTGAGCTGAGTCGGATGCCTTGTGTGATTTAGAACCTGATTGAACAAGTTTGTGTTTGTTAAAAAGAAAATATATTCTCAGGTATATTTAATGTTAACCGGTTTGTAACAGATTGACATGCACTGCAATCATCATCACACCCCCTTGTTTAAAGTGAAAATATTTGACAAAATGTGTTGTTTTAAAAGTAGAGGATGAGCATATGTATATATTTGATTATTGTGATCTCACTTCACTTGTGTATTAAAGATTTACTTATTGTGTCAGTTTCTAAAGCAATATTCCCTGCGGCTTAATGGAACACTAGCATTAAAAACAAAAAAGCAGTTAACATTGGTATCCAGTGACAGGACATGACTCCTCAATGCAGCCCTATCCGCTCAAGGTGAGATCATCAATCAATGATCTCTTGTCCATTCCAATGTTTCTCATAGAGATGTGCACGACAATTATATGTGTAATATATAAATATTATATTGATATAATAAATAAAACCTCACCTAGCCTCACACTACTGCCCCATCCCCTGTCACCCTCTACTCACTAAAGCCCCTATTACACCCCACCCACTACAGACCTATCCCCTCTGCACCTACTAAAGCCTCTACCCCCATTCCCCACTAAAGCCCTATTACCCCACCCACTGCAGCAACTATCCCCCTGCAACAAACAAAAGTTCTACACCGCTTGCACCCAGGGCCGGTGCAAGGATTTTTGCCCCCCCATATGTCCTGCCCACCATGTGACATCACAATGCCCCGCCCATATGCTCTGCCATATGGGCCAACGCCAGTCTTCACAAAGTGTCTTTTATCTGAAAAGACAGTGTGTTTACATTAAAAAGCCTACAGGCACAGGCTATAGACACCAGAACCACTACATTATGCTGTAGTGCTTCTGGTGACTATAGTATCCATTTAATGTGAGGTAAATTAGAGATTAGTGCCACTAGTAATATATTGGATTGCCTACTTACCACCAGATGAGGACAAGAGGCTGATGATGGGCTCTGTCAGGCTCCACAGGTCTGGTGTAGAAGAGGCTCTCTGGAGACTGTTTTTAACAGTGCTCACAACAATTAACAAACAGGAAGCAGCTCAATTTTTTAGGGCCCCTTACACAGCTCAGGGTCTGGGCCCCCAGGGCTTGACCGTGAGTATGCCTACAATGCCCACCCATAAATCCAGCTACATGGCCCACCCATGAGTTCTCTCACAAGAAGTGGAGTGTATGTGTGGAGGGGATGTTTTATGTGTTATTGTAGAGGATGCAACGTGTGTGTGTTCTTATAGAATGTAGTGTATAGGGATACCAATTTCTGTAAGGGATGTAGTGTGTTTATAGGAGATGCAGTGCGTGTTTGCGTGTAAGGAATGCATTGTATGTTTCTGTGTAAGGGGTGCAAGGTGTGTTTCTGTGTATTTAATTGAATGCAGTGTGTGTCTGTAAGGGGTGCATTGATTGTGTAAGAGATGCATTTTGTTTCTGTGTGTAAGAGAATGAGTTTGTGTGACCGTAAGGGATGCATTGTGTGTTTCGGGTGTGTGAGTAGGAACGCATTGTATGTTTCTGTGTGCGTGTGTGTGGGGGGGGGGATGCATTGTGTATGTGTGTAGTGTAAAAGAGAGGGTTTGTGGGGTAGGATAGGGACTGAGAGGGGAGCAGCTCTTTATTTTTTTAATTTTTTGCATAGTGCTTACCCTCCTGTCAATTATTGATTTCCCCTTCCCTCCTGTCCCTTAGTGCTCTCCCTTGGCCCCCTGTAGTCCCCCCTTAGTGGTCCTCCATCCCTCCCCTTAGACATTCCCTTCCTCCCCCCACCCCCTTAGTGGTAATCTCCCCCTCCTAAGTTCAGTATGTACGTGTGTATGTGAGTTTCAGTATGGCTGTCTGTGTGTGTCAAAATGTCTGTATGTGTGTTTGTCTGTCAGTGTCTGTGTGTATGTGTGTTTCAGTATGTCTGTATGTATGTGTGCCAGAATGTCTGTCTGTCAGTGTGTCAGTATGCCTATGTGTGAATCTGTCAGTGTCCGTGTGGTTCTGTATGTCTGTGTTTGTCAATATGTCTGTCAGTGTCTGTGTGTATGTGTGATTCAGTATGTCAGTCTGTCTATGTGCCAGTATGTTTGTAAGTGTATCTGTATGTCTGTGTGTGTGTGAGTCTGTCAGTGTCTTCAGTATGGTTCAGTATGTCTTTGTGTATGTGTGTTTCAGTATGGCTGTCTCTGTGTCAGTACGTCTGTCAGAATGTGTCTCGGTATCTGTATGTTGTCCATTTGTGTTTGTGTGTGTATCTGTATATAGTCAGTGTGTATCTGTATGTGTCAGTATTTGTATCTGTATATCTGCATGTGTGTCGGGTTGTGTATCTGTGTCTGTATGTGTGTCAATGTGTGTGTCGGTGTATCTATATGCAGGGCCGGACTGGCCCACCGGGATACCGGGAAATTTCCCGGTGGGCCGCGGCACCTGGGGCCGGTCTGACAGCCCTAATCATTGGGCTGACAGCTCCGGCCGCACAGAGCCCCATGGGAGCAGGGGGAACCGGCCGGCACAGCTCACACACAGCCGGCCGGTCATAAAAAAAAAAAAAAAAACTGCGTCGGGGCGGAGCTTAGCGTGCGGCGGGGGCGGGTCTTACCTACGGCAGGCACGGCTGACTGCAGCATGGGAAGCAGGAAGGAGTCCCTGCTTCCCCAACAACAAGCCTCCAGGAGCTGCAAGCAGGAGGTAAGTGTGTGAGTGTGAGTGTGTGACTGTCTCTGTATGAGTGTGTGACTGTCTCTGTGTGAGTGTGTGACTGTCTGTGAGTGTGTGACTGTCTCTGTGTGACTGCCTGTGAGTGTGTGACTGTCTCTGTGTGACTGCCTGTGAGTGTGTGACTGTCTCTGTGTGAGTGTGTGACTGTGTGTGTGTGACTGCCTGTGTGTGTGTGACTGTCTGTGAGTGTGTGACTGCCTGTGAGTGTGTGACTGTGTGTGAGTGTGTGACTGTCTGTGAGTGTGTGACTGTCTCTGTGTGAGTGTGTGACTGCCTGTGAGTGTGTGACTGTCTCTGTGTGACTGTGTGTGAGTGTGTGACTGTCTCTGTGTGAGTGTGTGACTGTCTCTGTGTGAGTGTCTCTGTGTGACTGCCTGTGAGTGTGTGACTGTCTGTGTGAGTGTGTGACTGCCTGTGAGTGTGTGACTGTCTGTGTGACTGCCTGTGAGTGTGTGACTGTCTGTGTGTGAGTGTGTGACTGTCTGACTGTGTGACTGCCTGTGAGTGTGTGACTGTCTGTGTGTGACTGCCTGTGTGAGTGTGTGACTGTGAGTGTTTGACTGTCTGTGTGACTGCCTGTGTGAGTGTGTGACTGCCTGTGTGTGTGTGACTGCCTGTGTGTGTGTGGCTGTC